CCCCAAAACCCCAAAACCCCACTCCAGCAATAAATTTATAATCTAAGAGTTTAAAATTTAAATTTCTAAAAATGAATGAAGATGAGCATGTTTAATTAAATGAGTTAATACCTGTTTCACAAAGAGATCGCATGTCCCCAACTGATGAGGATATTATAGCTTATGGACCTGTTATTGGTTTGGACTTTGAGGTCTAAGACCGACATCTAAAATGGATTGGAAAACAAGCAATACAAGCTGATCTTCCCTAGGGTTGGAGAGTCTTCCAGCTTAAAGATGGCTAAATTTTGTATTTCAATACATTGAGTAATGAATACACCCTGTAGCATCCTCTTGACCCCTATTTCTAATTACTAGCTGTAAGAGAGAAGTTTTTTCATACTCATGGTGTATTAAATGTGAACTATAGATCACCTCCTAATTCAAATGTAATAGTAAGCACAGAGTGCATTGAAAAAGCGAATCAAGTATTTTACGATCTATTTACACTTAAGTAAGAGCTATCTAATGATTCAATCAAGTTGATCCACGAGAGATAAGAGTAGCTTGAAAGGCAGTATGATAGAATCTTACAGTAAATGAGACATTAGTCTGAATCAGAATAGATCAAAGTAGAAGACAGTATTTTATAATAATTCAGCTAGAGATCTAAAGAAACTCAGGATAAGCTTAAATTTAAGCATTAACAGGAAATAGAGAGGATATAATTAGAATATTAACAGGGTTTAATGAGAAAAATAAAAGGGTTATAGCAATAGGCACAAAGAAATAATGGGAATCAAGAAGAATTTAGGTAGCTGATATAAGATATTAAATTTAAGTAGGAGGAAAAATACGAAAGATAGAAGTAATTCATAATGGATGAGCATAAGCAATAAAGAGATCAATTAAAGAAAAGAATAAAAAATGACTAGAATAAACTAAGAAATGAAATTATTTATTAGTATAAGGAGAGATGGGAGTAGCTATAGTCATAGTTCTAAATTCCAATATAAAAATTACTAGAGATAATTAATAAGGATAAAAATCTTATAAAAATATAAAATGCAGAAAAGCTAAGATCAGAAAAAACTGCACTTTAAAGATACTTTGAAGAGTAATTGGATAGTATTAAAGATGAGAGTCAAGATATTCTCAATAAGTAGAAGTAGCATTTAACAAATCAATATAATTAGATATTAATGCAATCTCTTTCTAACTTAGATCAGTCTAAGATTTCATTTGACAAGGACATAGAATATTATAAAAGATAAAAAGAACAAGAAATTAAGTCAATTAAAAACTAGATTTAGTTGGAATTTGAATTAAAACTCGAGAAGATTAAAAGTTATTATGAGGAAGAAGAAAAATAAAAACAAATGGGAAATGTGATGCAGTATATTCAGGGTTTGAGAGATCATAATGGAGAACTAAGAAATTAATTAGAATAACTCGAGAGTAATTAAAAGTAAAACATGAACATTGATTGGAATGGTGATGTTGGCTAATCTAGAAGCTAGGGAATAAGCAATAAGAATAATTAGAGAAAAAAGGAAAACACAGATTTCATTACTATTGGGGATATTGACCAAGTAAACTATAGATAAGATTAAAACCAGCAAATTAATCAAAATAATAATGAGGATATGAAGTAATACTTTAGCCAAGATCTGAGGTCTTAGTTGCCATAGAAAAATTTAAGTTAAGAGTTTAATAAGTTGCAGAATATCACTAAGCCTCCTTTGTCAAAATCACCAACACCTTCTCGAGGAAGTAGCAATTTGAGTTTTATCAGCCAAAATATTGGCCCATCACTTCATATAAACTAGATTAGAGGATAGTACTATAAATCATAAACTCCAAGTGCTGAATCGTCTCAAGTAATTTCAGCAAAGGTGTTAAACTTTACTGATATGTCTCCTGGTGGAATATCAATGGACATCATAGACAGATATCAAATGAAAGAAATAAGATAGTTTGTAGCAAATGAACTCTTTAAAACTCAAGAGAGAACTTAAAAGCTGTATAAGGAATTTACCCAAACCAAGTAACTTAAAGAAGAAATCAGGGAGATAAATAGAAGAACTGATCTCGCCAGTTTAGAAAGTAACTAGGCAAAAGTTAAAATTGTCCAAACTAATCATGATTTGGAAGTATAGTTCAATATTCTTAGATAACAGATTAAGAATCTCCAGGCCAAAAATGATATCCTCCTCAGAATAAAAGAAAATCTGAAGAAGCATTCAAACTCACTCACTCAACATGAAAGATAGAATTTTGAAACCGAGATCTTGAATGATTATAACTATCTCAGAAACAAAACCAGATAAGATAATGAACGAGCAAAGTAATCTTTAAATAGTTCAGCTTTGATTCTGAATTAAACACCAGAGAGTTCTGATATTACATAAATCACAGGGCAGACAGAGTATGATAGACATTATTAGAAATGGGAAAAGATAATTAAAAGTGGTACTGGAGAAAATCAACTAAATTTTTTTAATGAATATGCAGTGGCTATGCTACCCAAGGAAGATCTTGGAATAAAAACCATAAATAGACTATAGAAGGCTCTGAAGGATCTATCAAACATGCCAAAACTTGATAAAATTGATGGTTAAAAGTAAAGTACTGATTATAGAATAAGAATGTTCAAGTAAAATGAGGACAGATAAAAGAGCAGAGGCATTCAAAAAGTTATTGAAAGCTAATTTTAGTTTTTAAAAGAAATCAAAATGGAACTAAACAGGCCTATAGAAATAATAAGATGAGTAAAAATTTGATATACCATAGAGATTAATATATTTTTAATTTCATAAATATAAAATACATAGCTGTTGGGGTTTTGGGGTTTTGGGG